CATTTTATTTTCTCATAACGATGGTTTGCCGTAACGCCATCCATTCCGTGACTTCCGATTTGAGCATTTTCTCATTTCTTCCCGGTCTTAATCTGTTATTCCGCAATGAAATAATATAACTTATTGTTTTTTTAGAGGGCACGGTAACGAATCTTGCAATCTGATTGGTTCTTTACCCGGTCAGTATTTTCCTATCTCTGCCCGCGGGCCACGGTAACGCTTTCGTGAGTCGCCGAGTACATCCCAACTTTCGTTGTCATTTTTCATAAATATACTTCGTTTTCCGGCTGGGCAGTATTTTTAAGCAAACACGTCGGTCACTACCTCAAGCCGATAAATAACTTATGAATCCTCTCTTTTCTCTCTATCAAATCACTTTGGTTGACAGAAAAATATTGGTTTCAGAATGAATTTGTATAAACAATAGTGTCATTACGTTGGTTGACAAGCGGCCTAAAAACCGTCTGCAATTAATTTTAATCGTTCACAAAAAAAAAGTACCCAGAAAGTTGAAACGTGAGGTATTTGGTTACAGTTCAACTGAACGATGGAACTTTCATTCATTTAATATCTGAATTTTCTCGAGCAATTTGTTCATAGTGAAAGAGCGAGCGAAGTTTTTATGCATTCATGAAACAATAGCTCCAAAGCCGTTACAGTACCGTAAAATTACGACCCTAAATTGCTTTAAGACGATCTGAAACATGCCTTATGTGAAGAATTTTTAATGAAGTGTTATTGAGACTTGGCTTGCTTGGAAAGGCATATATACTCATCCGTTTGATGTATTTGAGAAGGCGTGTAACCCTAAAAGAGGGTCTGAATGGGGGGGGGGGGGGGGGTCAAAATGTCGGTTGTCGGTTAAAATTTCATTACTTTGTCGGTTGTCGGTTAAGATTTTTGACCTTTGTCGGTTGTCGGTAAATCTCAGTTAATAATTAAAAATACACGTTAATTATTCACATTTATTATGCAATTTGCCCAGTTTTAAGACTTAAACTCTAGACGAAGTGTAATACTTGTAATAATTCATTATTTGTTTTCACTTAAACCTCGTTAACGCTGTTTTTTAATTTAGCAACGTGCTCATCTACCCCACTTTTGTTTGCAAATCTAGTATACCGATAAAATTCACCAAAGCTTTTATTATAGATGTGAATTTGTTTCCTGTCGACTACGGGGCATCGAAGTAAATCAAGAGAGGTAAATTCTACAAAGAATGAAACACCCACTCTAGCCCCTGGGATACCTAATTTTAATTTGTAAGCCACGGAAGTCTTTTTTCCGAGACGTCCACAAAAACTCACTACACTTATTATTCAACGACTCTCGTGGCTTTTCTGCGAGGTTTCTTTTTTTTCTCTTTTTTTTTGCCAAAAATTTGGTTGTCATACGTATCAATCTGCACCGTTAAATGGATTTTTTAACTGTTAGTACCTCTTACATATCGAGACGCACAAATGCACGAACAGCCCTGCCGGATCGGGTAACACACGCTCTGTTGACAACCTCTGGATGTTCTTCAAAATCTGATTCCTCGTCATCCGAATCTGTCTCATACTCATCGATTTGTACTTCTCTGTGATCCTCAAACACCTCAGTAACATCCCCTTCGTCCACAAATTGTATGCTGACAACGCGTTGTACATTTGCTGACGATACAGTGTTTTCTTCAGGATATCGAAGCCTCTCTTCAGACTCGTCGGTGTGGTGAACGGCGTAGACAGCTAGCGGCAAGGCCCCAGCCTTATCTTTTGTGGTCTCACTCCTAACCGTCCGTTGGCATACTGGTCTGTAACTCTCTAGCCACTCTTTGATCTGTCCTTCCATCCCTGGTGTTATGTCCTCACTTGGCAAAGGTGTCATCGTAGCTATAGCAGAAAGGGGCATGGCGGATTGAGGTACCGGATAGTAGGATTTGTCATGCGTGTAGTACTTTGCTGCCCATCTAGATGTGCGCTTCAGAGATTCCTTGCAAATTGTTCCAAAATCCTGGGCATATGTAAGTACCGTAAATGTCTCGTGTTTAAGGTGCGAAACAGCGTGCAAATTTTCCACTACTGTTGTGAGCAACGTTTCGAGCAGCAGATCATCTACAAATTGGGGGTTAATGTCCTTCACGTTCTTGTATAGCCTTTCTATGCCCTTTTTAAGCAAAGACACAGATACTTGCGTCTTCTGTGATATAGTTCCCTGTGGACCATTGGTCGCAGACGTCTCGCTCAACTGGTACCGTTCTTTCACCTTACTCACAGTGTCTTTTACATAGCTGTCAATCTTTGTCACCTTCTATTTTGCTTGTTTCAAGGACACTCCGTCTGGTTTCATACCCTTAGAATGAATTCCAAAGGTATCGTAAAGGGAGCCAAGAATCCCCAGAAAAGATACCGTTTCTGAGAGGCTCGTCACTATTTTCAGTTTTCCAGCGGAAACATCTGTAACAAACAAGTTCTTGTCTACAGAGCATATCCCTTCGATTTGTTTGAATGAGCATGAGTCTTGTGTCCCATCGGAAGAAATGTTGTGGCCACTTCCTACCAAAGTCCTAACCGATTTATCATCAGGGTTGTATTGCATAACCTTTCCCGCCTTTGTATCCGTGTAAACTACCCTCCCGTTCAAGGTGCATACTTGGTTTACCTCAGAGCAAGGAAGAGTCGAGTTGCATACAGCTTTGGTCACTGTCTTTGCGCTAAGTTCACATTTATAAAGCCCACCTTGGCTCGAGGCTCTTGAGAAGAATGCGCATTGGTCAAGTAGAGTAATAGACAAAAGATTTATGATGCTGGATGGATAGGCAGTGAATTTCGTAGCATTGCCGTGAATGGTCACTCCATCAAATGTCAATGTTATCTGATAGACATATTGACTCTTGTCATCACTACAAAATAACAAATCATTGCTTGCAGCATAGACAGCAGAAGGCTTACCAAGACGATTAGGATGCATCTGGACGTGTTCTGCACAGTCCGTGTTCTTAGAAATGGCACCCAAGTGGTCCTTAAGTCTTTCGCGCAAAACGGGAACCGTTCCATCCTTCTCACTTTTGACTCGTCACCTTTCTTCTCAGTGTCGTTCATTGACTTCTGCTTGCTTTTATCAGATGTAGCCGGCGCCTTCAGCAACACTACTGGCTTTCCGGTCCAGTTTGTGACCTCTTGGATAATGTGTACTAAAATATTAAATACCGTGTGTTTTAAGTTTTCTCTTTAGTAGGCTTTTGAGAAACTTACACAGTTCTTATCAGCAAATGCTCGTCAAGATGTATAAAACGTGCACATCGAGCGAAATCTCTCGTGCGTAGCTTCCCTCGAGGAGAGAATTGAATATTATTTGAACGTCTGGTTTTCAGAAACGAATAAATTTAAGGGCGTGTATAAATAAACGGGGTCTTTAATATGTTAAGCTACACTGTTGTTCATTCACCAGTTAATCAGAAAGAAGCTTATAAACTGATTTACTCGCTACTTCTTTGTAGAGATTTTTCTTCTCAATTTTCGCATTCAAATGGACGGTGAAAAAGAAAAAAAAAACATTCCGCTCCACAAAACAACAAACAAAAAACGGTGGAACCAGAGTTTAACCACGTTAATATTTGAGCTTAATATTTAACTACAGAACTAAAGTGATTCATCAAACTCCGCTGCACGCGTTCCACACTTACCGTTGAGCTCACTGCTACTTTCATCCGATATTAAATTTGGAAGTTCAAGCTGCCATTGCCCATCCGTCGCAATTGCGCAATTTTCGGATTTGCCCGCAGGCGATTTCGCCAGGCGAAATAACTTTAACGAAAATCCGCCAATTCCATATTGATGTGCCTGCTCCTTTAGTACTAAAAACTCCGTAAGATGTTTTTTTAGTTCAGATACTCCTCTATGAGCTTCTTTGTCTACTGGGACCCTGGTTCGATGACGTTCGATGGCGACTTCTTCACCTTTTCGAAAAAAACTCACGATGACTTTAGCAATCCCAGTCATGACCCGACCGCATGAACAAACAACGAGCAATAAAAAGACAACAGCAGGGCGTCTCGTCGGCTCGATTGTGATCCGCTGTTCTTGAAATGAGACAGCAGGGCGTCTTGTCAGCCCGATTACGAGCCGCTGTTCTAGAAATGAGCCCACGCTGCTCACCAAAAAGAAGGATCCCGTGGATTTAAAGTAATTTTAAGACAAGAAATTCTATAATTCGGCTAAATTTGGAATTAATGTGGTTACGTCGGGTGAAGAAGGATTTTCTGAGCTAGAAATAATCAAAATGCTGTTCTTTCTGAATACAAACATCCCTATCACGTCTGACCATGTCGGTTGTCGGTTAGAATTTATTTGTCGCTAGTCGGTAATTTTTTCCCCGTTTCGTCGGTAGTCAGTAATTTTTTACGCCCTTTGTCACTAGTCGGTTAACCCCATTCACACCCTCTATCTGTTTTCTTTTAACACATTGCAACTCGGTGCTGAACTAGAATTGTCGAATATTTTGGACAAATAGAACAACAACAGTTCCTCTCAACGGCTAGTTGGAAAGAAAAACTATTATTATTCACCGAAGAAAACTCCATTTGAAGCCAGTTTGTTCTGAAAAAAACTAATGGGCTTGCGAGAGGGAAGTTGTTTTCTATTTTAGTCTCCAGCGGGTGCTTTTTTGAGGTAGCCACCTACTTAAAATCTTAATGAAAGCAATGAATTTAACATACCGCCATCCAGATTTGAGAACTATTGCGTAACTATGGAATTAATAAATGAAACCAGCCCAGTGTGTACATACAGGTAACTTTGTGAGTTTGATTCCATTGAAGGTGTAATCGGCTATGTAGCTGATCATCTACACGTGCCTTTCACCTTAATTATTAAATTTAATGATCGGTGGAGGTGTTAATCGCCCTCAATGTGGACACTGGACATGGCTCATAGCTGTTAAATGTCTAATGAATTAACTATCTGCAAGTGGGTAACAACTTTGTGTATACATTGAAAATATTCAGTGAATTCTCTTTTGGTATGACAGATGCAGCAAAGATCAACTACACCTCTGGTAATCAGACCCTGAATGAAAGTGACACATTAAATGCAAAGTGTGTGGCTGATGGTAACCCAACACCAAATATCACCTGGACAAGAGTTTCTGACAACAAAACGGTGTCCTTCCCTCTCATCATCAGTGGTAAACAAGATGAAGGAGGCTACAAGTGCACTGCCAGTAATGGTGTTGGAAGCCCTGATAGCAGGATTTTCAATGTTTTTGTGCAGAGTAAGTTAATTTTGAACCGTTTCCTTTTACTCCTTATTACCTGAGGTTACACAGAATTACAAAACCTCTCAGCTGGCAATTTTACCTAATTATGCAATTATTTAGCATAACATCCATCTTCCAGAAAACAAAGAAAAAAGTAAAAAGCTAAGTCTTTGGTTTGTCTCACGATGTAGTCACTTCAGGCGATGAGGTCGACTGGTCATGCGTGATCTTCTAAAGCATGATGCTCTGCTGTGATTGGTTGTTTTTCAACAGCTCTGATTGGTGCATTTCGATCCTTGCTGTTCACTCAGTGATTTGCTCCCTCGGCGGTCCGCTGTCGCACGGCTCTCCTGTTGTTGTGTTTCTTGATTGTGGGCATCCACGCTTCTGGAATTTCTATTCCACTCACCCTGTTGATGTTGTTAGGGTGAAGTCTTATATGAATAGTCTCTTTGACCTTGCGCATGTAGTAATAAGGGTCGCGATCAATAAACTTTACTTTACTGTGAATATTTCTGAAATGTCTGAAGAAACAACCTCAGCTACTTTAACAGAATTTTGTTTCTTTGTCAGAATTTACATATTAAGGTAAGATATATTGTAGTGCACCGATATGCCAGATTCAAGGTAAAAAGTAAGCTGTGTATTTTTAAGTAGACGATGATCTTTAAGGGCATAAAACTTACCTTAGTTTAACAAGTGGAGTGTTGTTCTTTTAAATTCATTGTAGACTACCATCCAGTAAACACCATTGTGACAACTAATCTGACTAACAACACTGTTCTTGTGAATGAAACGTTCAGTATCACCTGCAGTGCACAAGCCAACCCACCTGCAAAATATCAATTTTACAAAGGTGATGAGTATATCAATGGTGCCTACAACGATGCAGTAATTATAGCTTCAATTACTGAAACAGTAAAGATGGTGAACTACAGCTGCATTCCCGTCAATTTTCATGGTAATGGAACACAAAGAACACTAGCAGTGACAGTACACTGTAAGTATTTAATCGTTTAAACTCTGTGACTTTTAGAGAGTTGCTGTACAACGCGTGTTTCTGATTGGCCGAAACAGAGCGCTTTATTAGTGGGCGCGTTGTCACACTATCGACTAATTTTTACAATGGCGATCATTTCTCAGACTTCTCTCTCTCGAGGTTTTTTTTTTTACCCAAAAGTCTTGCATGACCTGTAAACGATATGAAAACCAGCTATTCTCTCCGCTGCAGGGGAAAAACACAAAAGTGCTAGGAATTCTATCGGTGTCAGACTGACAGCGGTAGAAATAGTTGAGAATAAATTGTATCAGTCTCGTGATTTTATTTATCATTTTTTAGATGCTCCTACTGGCACAAAACTAATTTCAGTTCCCAGGAACGTCACAGTGCTTCGCAAAAGTCTCCTTAGCTTGATTTGCAAAACTGATGGTAGTCCGGAAGTTGAATTTTGTTTGTATTTCAACGGTCGCCTCATCAAGACCAGCGAATCAGGAAGATTTCATGTTTCAGTGACGTCTGATGGTTCCTACACGTGTGTTCCTACAAACAGAGTTGGCGCGGGAAAGAATGCTAGTGTCAGTGTCACAGCCGTTGGTAAGTTTACATCGATACTTCGCTGCATAAAGAAAATAGTGCAGCAATGTTATTTTGTCACGCACGATGCTAAAATCCTCTGCTGATACTTTTGTTAAGGAATTAATTTTTCCTTAGCCTGCAGTACAGATGTCTTATTAGGGCGAGTTAACGTTAAGAAGCTTAAGATTGTTTAACCAACCGGTCATGTTTGATTTGGAGATAGAGGTGGCGTTTAGGGAAGGGGTGGGGAAATTTCACTCGCCTTAGTACAAATTTCCTTCTCTCCTCAGCTTTCCGCTGCCATTAAAGTCAAAGGTGGCGGCCATGATTTTCACCAAGAAATGAATGAATTCTTGCTTGCCAATTTACGTCTGCTCTGCATGCTAACTTTTCTTTGGTAGAGAAAACTGAACCTGCCTTTTTGGTGCTCATTGTGATGGCAATGATGAGATGTGTCACATCTTATTAGATGTTTTCCAATGCATTTAATAGTACTGTCTTGTAAAGCCATGAGAATTGGCACATAACTGCTGAGTTACGAGTGCTCAAATTCGATGTGCTTCTGGTTATTCATAGTATTAAAATTATCAATGTAGCGCTTTTCTATTTCATGGAAAAATTTAGTCCTTTTTGATATGGTTATAAGTAGTATGATAGTAATAATTTCTCATATGAAATCGTAATGTAACCGGTATTCATCGGGAAGTTTATCTTTTATCAGATGCTCCAAACGTCACAGTTTCACCAGAAGTAAAAACCGTCGTCGAAGGGAGCAACTTGAATTTGACATGTGCTGCGTCTGGCCAACCAAAACCCAGCATAAAATGGACTAAGGTTGGCAGTTCTGACTTTCTATCTAATGCATCGCTGCTCACTGTTGTGAATGTAACCAGACCTAGGACAGCAAACAGCAGAATCCAGTATCAGTGCATAGCTAGTAATGGAGTGGGGACACCTGCTACAGCTACAGCCAGTATCGTAGTGAACTGTAAGTATAGAGGTAAAATAGTTATACGCTGTGCATTACTATTTGACGTTAAATACTTTTTCCCTTTTTGATGTCTTCTCAGTTCACAGATTTGTTTTGGTGAATCAACCCTCTTATTATTTTTTTGTTAGAATATGGCAACGGTTTCTCATCAGTTCTCGAAATCATTTATGATCCCCCTCATGATCATAACGACGACTTGATAATAATGTTTCGATTCGCTTACACAAAGGGCTATCACCCGAAATGTCAACTTAAAATCTCTCTCTTTACTGTGGCTATTTCACATCATCAACTCAGTTGATGAAACCATATTATCTTTAATGGCTTGTATCTGCTTGCCCAGTTTTTTTATAGCGGAGCTCACAGCGCAGCCTCATTATTATACGAAATAGTATTGATCCATCAAGCCGAAAAAATTTGAACTTACAGCCGTACGGGCATCCGTACAAGGTGCTACTTTTAGTATACACGACCAACTGTTTCGCAGTAACTATCAACTATCTTAGCCATTACGTGATGGAAGGGGGGAGAAGGTAATGCGCAGGCGCAATTGCGTACGTTACAGGGATATCCCATTAGTGTACGCCAGTAGACACCGACAGATGACAATGAAGTGCGCACATTCGAGTGTCGACCGTTTGTGCTGTGTATCGCGGGCGCACGGTTAGACATTACACGTGGGTATCACGTGGGCCAGTAGATGTGAAGCCGTGTAAGCAAATAGTTTGCAACCCGTGCTTTGGGCGCGAAATCAAACTGGTTAGATTGTAGTTGAACAATAATCCTCAATATTTTTCAATTTCTAATCAATTTTCAAAGCAACAATAGCGGCAGAGCTAAAACTTTGTCAACCTGAGGAAATTGTTATTATTCAAGTTCGTGGAGAGAGGTTTTCGAATGAAGATAGGCTGGAAAGAAAGAGGCAGAGCGGCCAAACAAAGTAAGAAGTAAAAGGCGTAAAGCGAGTCGAGAAAAACGCGTAAGAAAGTTAGAAAAGACGCCAAAATAGACAGAATACGGCGAGAGGAAAGCGAAAGCGAACAAGAAAAGGCATCAGTAAATATCTAGCGAAGAGCGAATATCTAGCGAACAGTAACGTGTGAAGGAAATACAAAGACGCTCCTGTATCAGTCTCGTGATTTTACTCCTTTTTTTTTTAGATGCTCCTGGTGGCACAAAACTCATTTTAGTTCCCAAGAACACCACGGTGCTTCGCCAAAGTCCCCTTACTTTAACTTGCCAAACTGATGGTAGTCCTGAAGCTGAATTTCATTTATATTTTAATGGTCGCCTCATAAAGACCAGCGGCTCAGGGATATTTCATGTTTCAGTGATGTCTGATGGTTCCTACACGTGTGTTCCTTTCAACAAAGTTGGCGTAGGAAAGAATGCTAGTGTCATTGTCGCAGCTGTTGGTAAGTTTACTTCGATATATCTCTGCATAAAGAGAGATATAGCATTGTTACTTTGTAACGCACAGTGCTAAAACCGTCTTCTGATACTTTCGATGAAGAATTAATTTTTCCCTAGCCTGTAGTGCAAGTCGCGAGTGCGACATAACGTGAAAAAGCTCACGATCGTTTATTCAACCGGTCATGTTTCTTTTAATAAATAGAGAAGCCTTGACTGTGCTTTATTCTGTTATGAAGCACGCAGGAAGCTGCTAAATCACGAAAGAAGTGTAGGGACGTAGTCGAGTGTTTCTCTCCACTTCTTGAGTGCTTTAGCCGCTTACTAAGTGCTTTACAATAGAACAGAGCACAATCAAGGCTTCTCCATTTGTTTTATACTAAAGAATCCGTTGAATTCCCCATACATGACTTTCAATTCTCAAAACAAGCTTTGTTTCCAAAGCGAAAAACAATGTGGTGAGGATGCGCTATACTCTCATGAAGCACGCTACAATAAGCCAATCAAAATCCCCGTTAGAACGGTTAAAATAATCTGATTGGCTGTACAAGACAACAGCTGTCAAAAATTTCAAACTATCAAAGTTCAAAAACCGTCAAAGTTCACATTCTGCGATTACAAACTGAAATAGTGCATCAGGTCGAATTTAACACTGTTACGATGAACGTAAGGACAACGAGCGTGAACACAACTCAACTACTTTGATGGCGGCTCACCTAAAGACCACGAGGTCTGATGACATAACAATAGGTCACGTGAATGAAGATTTTAGATATATGAAAATTCACATTTGCACTGCGGTGGAAAGATGAAATTAAGAGATCCTCGCAGCTAAGAACACTACTGAAACGAGTAGTTGTAAATAGGACCTGAAAAAAATTCGGGCCCGTACGGGATTTGAACCCATGACCTCTGCGATACCGGTGCAGCGCTCTACCAATTGAGCTAACAAGCCAACTGGGAGCTGGTCCATGAATTGGGTCCAAATAAACATCCAAGTGAATGAAGATTTCACGTGATACAAAAGTATATGTTGATTTATGCAGTATCACAACATCTTTCCTTTTGTATAGAAAGTGTCTTAAGTGCCGCTCCCGCTAAGAGCGGTCCACTCGACTTCCCGTCGAAAAAAAGTTTTCTTTTCTTTTTTGCCCATGAAACGGGTTTAGGACACATGTTTCAAAAATATTTAAGTTGTTCTCCAATTCTCTTTTTTCGCGTCGCCACAAGCCAAAAATAATTTTTGGCCAGACCACCCCTGTGAACAGCGATCGAAAGTGTAAATTTCAAAGACTTTGTCCAGCGCTCAACAACTGCAACAATGTAGCTCACTGAATTCTTTCTTGCTACAAGTTACAAGGTGTATTTAGTTAGTTCACAGGCAAAATATGGAAACTTAAGCTGAAATACTTTTCATACCAGCGTGATCAGAGGAGACTGAGTTTTCAACGCCATTTGTCGTAAAAGCTGCCACCAGCTTGTTATTGAACTCACTAAAATTTACCTGGAAGGCATTAACTTTCTTTTGTCGCGAAACTCGTGGATTTTAAAACTTTGAAACGACGTACGATGAATCCTGAAACTGGAGTTTGAGTCCATTGGTAAACTATGCCAGCTGGTCTCATGAGCAGATCAAGCTCTGACGAAATTTGACAGTTTTGAAGTTTTAAGCGGATGCAAAAATCGAGGCAAAAACTCTTCATGACACAATTTGTCCTTTGTAACACGACCGAGCGAAGGGTCTCGGGCGATATCTCTTTTACGCAGGCGCAAATTAAAAATATACCGCCAGAATCAAAAAGAGGAATAAATTTTCTTTGTTTTGATATGCAAAGTGTCGAACAAAAAGCAGATTTACCCTTGTCAGATGGCGTTTCAAAACAGCTGTATCTTCCTCCTTTTGATTTTTTCCTGTTTTGTAAGCGTGAAAGCAGCAGGAGAGGGATCGGGAAACTCAGAAAGCGCTTCGGGAATTAATCTGCCATCATTTACTTACGAGATAAACAAGTAAGATTTGTGAAGTTCGTTGAAATATGAAGTCTAAATAAGTGCCTTTTTTAAGCTTGTTTGCTGGATTTTTCGTAAACTTCCCCGATTAATTTTTTTTTCAGCTTACTAATCTATACTATTTCAAAGCAATGTAAAGACGAAGACGAAGAACCATGAGGTGTTCCTTGCAACAATCGTAAACAAAGTGTTTTAGCAATCAGGTATACAAGGTGTAATAATCAATAGCTGCATATTAGAAGTCTTCAGAAAGAAAATATTCTGTCTTCAGAAAGCTGTCAAGAAAGCTAGCAATCGTGGCGGAAGGCAATTAAATGCACTTCTTAGCAAGTTGAAAACGGGCCCTCGGTATCGATTTAATATCATATCGATCTCAACATCATACAGTTTTGTATCTTTCTTTATAAATAATTCAAATAGTACGCGCGCTCTGATTGGCCATAAAACCATTTTACATGAGCGTACGTAAACACGGTTTTCGTTCCTCTTTCATTAATTATTTTATAAAAGAAACGTAAAATGGTTTCCGTGTTTACATAGCCTGATGTAAACGCTTTGGAGGTTGGGAGAACACGAGATAAGCTGGAAACCACTCAGCATCGCGTCGTGGTTTCCTACGCTTATCTCGTGTTCTCCCAACCTCCCGCGTGTTTACATCAGGCTATGTGAACACGGAAACCATTTTACATTTCTTCATTCGTAAATTCGCCTTTCTAATGGAAGCGTATGTTGAGTATTCATTGCAAAATCGCTTTTTTTCCCCCCCTTTGGCCTGACCGCCATTTTGAAAATTCGCAACGGAGAGCATGCGCATTATGTGGGGTTAGTGGTCGCGTACACCTGGAACCGAGAAAAACAAATGTTCGTCGTGCTGGGGAAAGAGTTTGATAGGATGACGGGGACGAAACAAATTTAACTTGTAATCGAGGATTTCGTTGGATAGCTGGTAGTACACCGATATTCCAGGAGAGAAATCAGGGCTGAAATATCCAAAGCCACTCCAATCTTTGCTTTCCATGAATCAAGTGAACATTTTAAAAGTTAAAATTCTCATTAAAATGTAATTCGGTCAATTTTAATAACTTTCGATTCTAATTCGTTACACTAACTAACTTTATCTACTTTGTAAGTCACACAAGCGCTTAAGCGTTACGACCGATCACGTTCACGCAACGTTTTAGGACAACTCGGCATCTAATCTCCATTCAGTTGCTGTGAAAACTTAAAATCCTCAACGTAGAAGATAAACGAACGAAGTTTGAACGGTCAAAAGGAGATCTTGGTCAATTCTTAGAATCATGCAAATGATCTTTGTCACGAGCGCAATTGAGCAAACACATGGATTTGCGTTGTTTTTAAGAAGTTGGTGGATGGAAGCTAGAGATATACCCGCGGGTTTGAGGCAATCCGTGACCTCATTGGTGTATAAACTATGCACTGATATGCTTTTTCAGCCCAGCCTGCATTTTGAGAATTCGTACAAAGTAGTGAATTTTTGATATGCAAATTAAGGTCGAAGAGAAGGGTCTCTTCTGATCACGTTAGTATGAAAAATATTTCTGCTTAATTTTCCATATTTT